CACCTTGAGTTTATTTTTGTGCATGGAGTAAGCAGGTAGATATCCATTTTTTCCAGTACCACTTGTGGAAGAGGCATCTGCTTCCCATTGGATATTTTGGGAGCCCTTATCAAAGATCTGTTGTCTGTATGCTGATGATTTTATTTCTGAGTTTTCAGTTCTTTTCCATTGGTCTGAGTATCGGTCATTATACCAATACCACACTGTTTTGACCACCGTGGCTATAGAATAGGTGCTAAAGTCAGGTAAAGCAAGCCCCCCACCACCACTACCACCACTTTGTCCTTCTTGAAGAGTTCTAAACTTATTTTGGGCTTCTTCCCTCTCCATATGAAGTTAGTAATCAGTTTTTCCAATTCTTTGAGGAAAGATGGTGATGTTTGTATCGGGATAGCATTAAACTTATATAGTACCTTGGACAGAACTGCCATCTTTACTATATTGAGTCCTCTGATCCACAAGTATGGGATATTTTTCCATTTGTTGAGGTCACACTTGGTTTATTGTAATAGTGTTCTGTAATTTGACTCATACGAATCTTTTGTTTTTTCAGTCAGGTATATCCCTAGTTATTTCCATATGTGCTTGGCTATTGTGAAGGGAACTACCTTTTTGATCCCCTCTTCTGTGGTCTTGTCCGATGTGTACAGCAGTCCGATAGACTTCTCTTTGTTGATCTTGTATCCAGCACTCCCCTTGTGGAGCTTTTGGGATTTTCTATATGTACAACCACATCATCTGTTAATAATGATCATTTCACCTCTTCCTTCCCCAGGTGAATACCGCTGATGTCTTTTCTTTGCCTTATGTTGTTAGCTAGGACCTCCAGTACGATGTTAAATAAGAGTGGGGACAAGGAGCATTTTTGCCTGGTCCTCTTATCAGTGGAATTGTTTTCATCTTTTCTCCATTGACTACCACATTGACTGTTGGTTTCTCATGTACAGCTTTTACGATATTGAGGAATTTTCCTTCCATTTCTATTGTCTTGAGTGTCTTAAACAGGAATTGATGCTGGATGTGTCGAATGCTTTTTCACATCTATTGATATTATCATGTGGTTCTTATAATTTTTCATGTCGATGTGATGAATAAAACTAATGGTCTTTTGTATGTTGAAACAACTCTGCATCTCCGGTATGAATCCCACTTGGTCATGGTGAATTATTTGTTTTATATACTTTCCTATTCCATTGGCCAGTATTTTGTTAAAGATTTTTGCATCAATGTTCATTAGGGATATTGGTCTGTAGTTCTTGATTCTTGTGGGAACCTTGCCTGGTTTAGGTGTCAGAGTTATACTAGCTTCATAGAAGGAGTTCAGAAGTTTGCTGTCTTTTTCTGTGTTCTGGAAGAATTGTAGGATTGGTGTCAGTTCTTCCCTGAATTCTTGGTAGAATTCTCCTGTGAAGCCATCTGGCCTGGGGATATTTTTTGTTGGTAGTCCCTTGATAACCTTGTCTATTTCTTCTATTACTATGGGTCTGTTGAGATTCTTGACGCCCATTGGGGATAGTCTAGGGAGGGACTGTGTTTCCAAGTATTTGTCCATGTCTTCCAAGTTGTTGAATTCATTGGAGTACAGGCCTTCATAGTACTGTGTAATAACCCTTTTGATTTCATTAGGGTCCATTGTAATGTCCCCTGTTTCATCCCTCATCCTTGCCATTGAAATTTGTCCCTTCCTTTCTTTGGTTAGGTGTGCCAGCAGTCTGCCATTCTGTTAATCCTTTCAAAGAACCAAGTTTTACCTGCATTAATATTTCCCATCGTTTCTTGTTTTCCCTCTCATGAATCTCAGCCCTGATTTTCATTCTTTCTTTCTTTTTGTTGTTAGTAGAATTGTCCTGTTGACTCTGCTCTAATTGCTGGAGGTTTTGTATCAGCATATCAATCTTAAATCTCTCTTCTTTTTTCTTGTAGTGCATATATTGCTATCAAACTTCTTCTGGTGACTGACTTTGCTGTGTTCCAAAGGTTTTGGTGCCTTGTATTCTCATTCTCAGTTTCTAGAAATTTCCTAATTTCATCTCTGATCTGGGCCAGTACCCACTCCTTTTGCAATAAAGAGTTATTCATCCTCCAGGATTTTTCCCTTGTTTTCTTAGTCATCCTTTTGGTGATTTCCAGCCTTATGGCATAGTGGTTGAAAAGAGAAGTCTACGATCTCTATTTCCTTGCATTTATAGATTCGACTTATGTCCCAGCATGTGGTCTGTCTTTGAGTATGTACCATGTGGGCTTGAAAAGGATGTGAATTTTTTTACATTTGGGAGGAGAGCTCTGAAAATATCTATCAGGTCAAGTGGTCTAATTGTAATGTTTAGATCTGTAGCCTCCTTGTTAAGATTCTTTCCCTGTTATCCGTCTCTTATGGAGAGTTGTGTATTAAAGTCTCCTACTATAATTGTAGAGCCTGTTATTTCTTTATTCATTTTGGAAGGTTTGATTGACAGGCCTCTCTTTGGGAGCGTATGTATTTATTATGCTCACTGGTTCTTGGTCTACTGTTCCCTTGAGCATTATATAGTGCCCCTCCTTATCTCTTGTTATGGCTTGCACCTTGTGATCAATTTTGTCCTAGATTAGGATTGCAACTCCTGCTTTTTTTGAACTGCCATTTGCTTGGTATATATTTTTTTCCAGTCTTTGGTTCTTAGCCTATTTTTGTCTGTAATCTTGAAATGTGTCTCCTGTAAGCAGATCAAGGGGTTGTGTTTTCTAAGCCAGTCTGCTAGCCTCTGCCTTTTATTGCCTGAGTTCAGTCCATTGATATTCAAAGTTATTACATACATCTGTGGACTCTGTGATGTCATCTTGTACCTTTTGTGTTGGGTGTTTCCTATCTCCTTTTCTTATCAGTGTGTTTTAGGGGTGTGTGTGTGTGTGTGTGTGTTTCATTTTTTCCTTCTTTCCACCATTGAGACAATGCTATCTTCTGGGCTGTTTTTGCCCTCTGGGTGGAGTTGTTCTATGTGGCAGTTTCTTATTTGTGCTCAGCGAGTGTTGTTCTTCTGCCTATATTAGGTTGGTAAGGATCTTTTGTAGGGGTGGGTTTCTTTTAACATATTCTTTGAATTTTTCCTTGTCTGGGAAGACTCTTACTTCTCCATCTACCTTGATAGATAATTTGGCTGGATAGAGTATTCTTGAGTTTGCGTTCTATGCCTTCAATTTTGGGAATATGTTACTCCACTCTCTCCTCTTCATCATAGTGTCTGCTGATAGGTCTGAGCATATTTTTATTTGAGTCCCTTTATAGGTGACTGCTTGTATTTCCCTAGCTGCTCTTATGATTTTCTCCTTTTCCTCAAAGTTGGAAAGTTTAACTATTATATACCTTCGTGACTTTTTCTTGGGATTCCGTGTAGCTGGTGTTCTTTTGGCCTCTTGAATGGTTGTCTGGTTTTCATTCATTAAGATGCACAAGTTTTCCTCTAAGAATTCCCTCTCAGTATTTTTGCCATTGACTTCTTTGTTGTGTCTTGTTTGGTAGTCCAATTATTCTAATGTTGTTCCTTTTTATAGCATCAGACATGGCTCTCAGGTTTTCTTCGGCTTCTCTGATTATCTTATTTGACTGCCTTTCACGTTTGTTGAAGTCTGCCTACTATCCTCTAGGTCACTGGTGTGAGTCTCTGCCACCTCGAGTCTGTTTGCGAAGTCTGTGAATTTGCTACTGGCTTTTGCTATCTCATCCCTTAGGTCTTGTATTTCCCTTTGGTGTGTGGCTTTAATCTCCTCTACCATTTCATCCCTTTACTATATTGCTTCCCTCATATCCCGTATGACTTCAAGCACCATTCTGAAGATTTATTTCTGGGGTAGATCTATGTCTGGCTCTTCTACGCACATCATTAGGTTCAGGACTTCTTCTGCCATTGCCTTTGTTTTTCCTGCGTTGTTGTTATTGTTGAGGTTATTGGGGCTGGTTGCTGTTTGCATGTTGTTTTAGAGAAACCCAGTGCCATTTTCCAGAGAGTCGGAGAGCACTTGGTTCTCACTTTGGGAGACTCATAGGAATACTTCTTCAAACTGCCTACAGCTAACTGCACTGGGGGTTGAGCTACCACTTTATCCTCCCATGGTTTCATTCTCCCTAGCCAACCAGTATTCTGTTATTTGGAGGGCAAATTAGATGGTCCTTTAAGGGGATGCTGGCCGGGTGGTTGTGGGTCTGAGAGGATGGCACTGTACTGGATGATCTCACAGGAAGCTGTGGTGGTGTAGCCCATGGCGGCTTGGAACACCTCGGAGGGCATGTGGGGGTGCCTGCTACAATGGGCGTGCTGAGAGGGTGGGTGGGTGTGCTTGCTTTGTTGTAGAGCACTGTGGATGGTGGGCGGAATTGCCCTAGTTGGCAAGATCACTGTGTAGGCCTGGTGGAGGTTACCTCAGCAGCATGGAGCACTGGAGAGGGCTTGCAGAGCTGCCTTAAGCCATGTGAAGCACTGTGGCATGCAGGAGGAAGTTCTGTCAGTTGTGTAGGATATAGGCAGGTGATCCCCAAGCCACATGGAGTTCCATGGAAGGTGGGCAGAGGTTCCCACTGCCAAGTGGAGCACCACAAAGGGTGGGTGGGAATTCCCCATGCAGCTTAAAGGGCCTTGGAGGGTAGGCGGGCATTCCCCCAGCTGTTTGAAGGGGAGAACCCCAGCGTTTGGGGTGTGGTAGAAGGCAGGCGTGATTTCCCCAGCCACATGTAAGGCTGCAGAAGGTGGGTGGGTGGGAGCTCCCCCAGCTGCGTGGAGGTCGGGTGAAGTTTCCCTAGGAAGAGGGGAGTGGCCTGGAGTCCAGCAGTGGTGTATGAAAGGAAAGAGAAGAAGGAAAAAAACTGAACCTCCTGACACTGTGGCAAGAAAGAGAAGAGAGAAAAAGTAAAGAAATAGCTGAGCCCCTATTGCCTGACTGTGAGGTTGGAGAGGTTTAAACCCTGCCCAAAGGCAATGACAAGCTGTGGGTGTGTTGAAGTAAAGCCCTTGGGCCATCCAAAATAGCCCGGCTCTAGCCAAGACTGTTGTAGGGCTAAGGCTAAGCCCCAGCCAGCCTCCACAGTGGTAAGCCAAAAGCCTACAGCTTTTTAAAACCTAGTGGATCTGTGTCTACTTATCTTTATGATGCTTCTCCTGTGACCTGGAAGAGTGGAACTTTCCTCTCAGTTGCTCTCCTGCACTGATTTCTGCGGAGTTTGTCTGGTGTATGTTACTCGGTTGACCTCTTGCTGGAACTCTGGTCATTGCTTCTCATCTTTTCTACAACTTTCTGACTATTTTTGCTGTTTTGCTGCTTTTTATTTTGACAGTTTTATTGTCATATAATTCACACATCATACAATTCAGTGGTTTCAATATATTAAAAAGAGTGGTGCAATCTTCACCATAATCCAATTTAGAACATTTTATTCTTTCTTGTACTCATTATTATAAGCTACTCATTTCTTTCCAACCTCCCCGACCCTAACCCTAAGAAACTATTAATCAAGTTACTGTCTCTATATATTTACCTTGACTGGTGTTTTTAATCCATTTAAATTCAGTGTAATTATCAATAAACATAATTTTGCCAATGTCATTTTGATGTGTGTGTATGTTTTGCTTTTTTATGGTATAGATTTTTGTTGTTGTTATTCCATACATTTTTCTGTGCTGAGTTCATTTTTGAAAGCAATAAAAAAATTATATTAAATTATAATACAGTGTTAAAGAAATGCATAATGACTCAATTCCCTTAATTTTAAAGTAATTTTTCTTAACCTTAAAGGGACATATTAGAAAATGATACATCTTGCAATGAACTAACAATAATTTGAAATTCAGTAATTGCTTTAGTGTATTCTCATACTTATGTAAAATTGGGATTTACCATTTATTGTGTTTTTGTATAGTATTATCTCATTTTGAAAACTTATTTACACAAAGCCTTACTTATCTACTTGCAAAAGAGTCTTGGTAGCACTGTGAGTTAGACTGGGCACTACTAACTACAAAGTTGGTGGCTCAAGCCCAACAGTTGCTCTCAGAGAAAAAAATGAGGCTGTCTGCTCCCTTACATTTTTACCATCTTGGAAACCCTTCATAAGATCCCCTTTGAAGATGATTCAATGACAGTGGGTGATTCAATGACAGTGCGTGAACTAGAACCCTAGTTCACCTAGTCGCAATACTTTTGACTCATGTTTGTATTGAGCAGTGAAGTGTTATGCATCTTGAGAGAAATACAGAGTGATTCTATATTTGGGGGTTTTATTTTATATGTATATGGATATATATATGGATATATGAGCAGATATATATGGATATAAGAATTAAGATATATGGATATATATATGTGGATATATACTCATATATGGATATATATATGGATTAAGATATATGGATATATATATGGATATATGAGTATCTTAATTCTTGTAAATGAGAAATAGAAATGTATCCTTCTTTAACATGAATACTAAAATATTAAAACTAAACTGTTTCAGCAGCTATTATAGCAATAGAATTCTGCTTTGTTGTTGTTGGGTGCTATTGAATCAGTATAACAGAAAGAAACATCACCCAATCCTGCACCATCTTCACAATTGTTCTTCTATTTGAGCCCATTGTTGCAGCCATTTGTCACTTTATCTCATTGAGAGCCTTCCTCTTTTGAAGCCCCTCCACTTTACCGAAGATGATGAACTCTGTTAGCTACTACCAAATGTTACTTTCTATGTTCAAACAGAATACATGCGGCCTTATACGGTAGCCTAAGATATCCCTCATAGCAACAAATTGTATATATCTTTGTCCTAATGCTCATATCTATACACTCAACAGATTGGAAAGTTACTAACAATGACTAACCAATCTAGCTGCTTGCATAACTTTGAAAGAGATCCCCTGAAAAGTTCTCTCGTGTTTTTATCTTTTGGTCCCTAGAATAGACACTAGTATATTTGGTTTTCAATATAATATGGCTTTCCTATTCAAAATTTGATTCCTATTCAAAATGGATTCATAAACTCAGCACCGTGGGTTTGATTTGGGGCTTTTAAGGAGCCTTGGTGCACTGTGGGAGAAACACTGGAACTCAATGGGTTTAGTAGAACTGAGTTTGGTTTGGTGATGTGTGGGACTTTAGTGTGTCAGTTCAAACCCAGTGGGAAAAAGGTGACGATGTCTGCTTCTGTAAAGATTCACAAGCTTGGAAACCCTACGGAGAAGTCGTATCTGCCCTATACAGTCCCTGTGAGGTGAAATCCACTTGATAGCAGTGGGCTGGGGGGTGGGTTAGCTTTGGTACTGCAGCCATTAAAGCGCTTGGCAGTGAACCTAAAGGTCAGCCGTTGGAACCTACCAGCTGCTCCTCAGAAGAAAACGGAGGCAGTCTACTTTTGTAAATGATTGTAGCCTTGGAAACACTATGGTGCGGTTCTACACTGCCCTAGCGGCCCATGATGAATCAGAATGGATGCAATGGCAAAGGGATTTGGGTGGGATCTAAGTACCAGTGGTTGTCAAGTCCACTCTGATTCATGAGGACCCCATGGGTATCAGAGTAGAACTGCATACCACGGGGTTTGCAATAGCTGGTCTTTGGGAAGTAGATTACCAGGCCTTTCTCCCAAGCCATCTCTGAATGGTTAAGAACTTGCCACTTTGAGATAGAATTGGCTTGACATGAATAGGTCCGGGGCTTTTGCCTCTTCTTTTCTCAAACTCAAACTAGCAAAATAGGACTTTTGTTAGTCAAGCATGGAGTATTTTCTCTAACATGGGATATTCTACCATTCAGATGGATAAATTCCCAGTGAAGCTATTCAAGGTCGAGATAATTTTGAAATGTCACAAACTTTGGATTAAATATGAGAGACAAATGAAAGACTATCTTCACAACGATGTTTGCTTTGAAGTTTTTCTATCTGAGAATGTCACTAGTCATGCCAATAAGAAGCCAGTTGGGCTTATTTGGTGCTTTTTCTAGAAGAGAAAAATAAGCTCAGGACAGAAAAAAAAATAGCAATCTTCAATAAGTTATAGAAGAAAGATAAATCACTTGGGTTTTAGCAGAAATTATCTTTCTAAAAACCAACAAAAATCCAGTGCATGTTAACCATTTCCTGTTTCTTGAGATTTGCGTATATAATGAATCTAGTTTTCACTCCTCGATTCTGGGGTGATCAGAATAGCATCCCATACACACACTCAAGGCTTTGTTTACTCAGAGGAACAATATTTCGTTGCTCTGTTTTCTTGGGTCACCCCAACTGGACATGGAAGTCTTGATATGGTGCCATGCTGTGGGGAAAAAGAGAGAGTGCGAGTAAGAAATTTGTGACCTGCCCCACAATAACTTCTCCCAGGAGGCTTGTGGGGAGAGCTGGGTCTACATCATGGCTGAGTCTTAACTCTCGGGTAGTAATGAAATGTCGGATTGTTCACTGACTCTGGAGCCAAAGGAAATCAAACTCTGCAGATAAGTACCATCTGTCAGTGAATCAAAAGTGGTGGTACACTTGCCCACTCTCTCAAACAAACCAAAAGGTTTTGTGGGAATTGGGGGGTGGGGGGGCAGGCAAAAAGAGAAGGAGACTGATGTTTGGGCTTCCTTGTTTTCTCTTATGTCAATCTTAAATGGAAAAAAATCCCTTCTCAAAGTCCATACATCTCCCCCTTGAACTCTAAGCCCTCAGAAATGACAGGTTATAGGACAGATGAGAAAATAAATGAAAAAATAGTTTGAAGAAAAAACACCATGAGAGGCAACTGGTGGACCAGAAGCAGAGAAGACTTGTGGAAAACACAACGGTGCGCAAGAGCACATTGAAAAGGGAAACTCAGACTCACAGGTAAATAGGAGAGAGGATTAGGAAAGACACTAGCTGTGTTCTGGAAGGAGGTGGATGTCGGGAGAAGTAGAGATCCTTGGGGTAAATATCGGACTGGTTTATTTTCAAAGATTGACCTGTACCACACCCTCTATTTGGGTTAGCATGCTCACGTAACATGGCTGGGGAGTATGAAAGAGAAGAAGGCTTGGACTGTAAAACTAGACTATGAAAGGAGGATGTATTGGTGCTACAACTTCTTCCCACAAGCTTCTCCCTTCACTTAGTACTGCTTAAGTGACGTTTTTGAACCTGTGTCCTTCACATTAGTAACTTGTTTGTGCACCATTCGTGGTAACTTCTTCCATGGTGAAGTTATTAAGATTGCCACTCACTCTCCTCTCTCCAGTCTGATCTTTTTTTTTTTTT